AGTGCCTTTAAGATGACTACCGGTCTCTTCTCCGAATTTCTGCGCACTTATTGTCGCTGAAGAAACAGGCTCAAAGATGCTGTTACAAGTTAAGGAAAAAGACAGGAGGATATAATTTCATGTGCCTGTATCAGTGACAGGATTTAAGTGAAATACGAATAATTTTAGATTTTTCACGGTGAATCACTTCACGCGTGAAATCCTTCTTGAAGCGGCATCATTCTTGGGAACGGCCATTATCATCTTGCTGCATAGTGTGATCAATTCGAATGGGGTTACACTAAAAGGTAACCGGCTATAAGGTATAGTTGATACGAGTTATTGATCCAAAGCCCTGACGCCTAAAAATTGCCTCATTGACCTCAGATACGCGTACGAAAATACTAAGAGAGCGATATTGCCCAGGATTTTTTGGGTCGAAGAATGATGGTGAACAGGCCGGTTTATTTTCTTAATAAGCTGTAAATTTGAGGTGAGGTATTCCTATTGCTTTGCTATGGTTAGGAATTGAAGCCAACCTCAAGTTTGAAAATGTTCATACAGGAATGCTGCATCATTGCGCATAAGTTTAGTAAGTCAAACACGGCTAACGCTTGCCACTGCCCACTAACACCTTCCTGTGACCTCAAAACGCAAATTGATCCTTCTGGCTTAACCAGTTAGACACAAATCAGGGGCAATATGATTAAGCAACCTCTGACTGTTGCATGCTACACATCCATGAGGTCTCACTAAGGTGTTCGCGAATGTCAAACAATCTCACAACTTAAAATCTCATAAACAAGTTCGCATAACAAACGAATCAACCAAGAAGTTGTATTCTTGACCTTCATACACCTACACCTTGCTCCACTTCGCTTTCGCCGGCAAGCAAACTGAGGCCAAGGGCACGGAAGAAGCTGGAAAACAGGAGCATGATGGCTCTTCTGTTCATTCTTGGGGGCTAAGATGCAAAACTCGATCATTAGGGGATTTCTTATTTTTGGAAAGTTTAAAATGAGTTGACAAGCTCCTCAGTCTTCAGGCCACCAAAATCGTCCAATCAGTCTTTACTGTAGAATACCCCGACGTGTTCGGGAAAGCCCACTTGATTGAGGCGCAAAATCACAAGCCAGAAATTGTGGATTCTTGAGATTTATCAATAAAATGTGGTACTACATGTATAAAACGCGTAATAAAAGGACTACAAACATCAACTTATGGGAGTTTCCGTCTATGTTGTCGCCCAAATTGGTGCAAGTCCAAAGAAATCCTGGAGAAGAAGGTAAATCGATCTTAATCGGCGACACGCGCCTGCGTACAACACGTGGTAGCGCAAAATGGTCAAAAAGCGCACGCAAAAGATGTCGACCAAATTGTCCCGACATATCAAGAGTTAAAATTCCATGAGGGACTACAAATGAACATCGAGCCTAGAAGGTAGACGCGATAGACAGCAGGCTCGGACGAGGGAAGGGTTTGACCGGGGGAAAGGAAATTCACTTAGCACAGCACAATTTCTGCCAAGTTTTGTTGCAGAGAACGTACATTTAAGGCCACAGCCTTAAACATTTGGCGCTACTCACGATGAGTAATTTTAAAATCGGAAGAAACGCCTCTCCATTGTTTGTCCTACAATATCTTTTCAAGACATGTAGAGAGCGACAAAGAGAAAGAAAAAACAAAGGCTATCAGATGAAACTAGTTGTCACCTTTCTGAGGGACTGGATGGTGCAAACAAACATCCAACACTCAGGTAAGCAACCAAACTGTATGTAGAAATCAAATAAGGTGTGGTCTCACCCTCTTTTCCGGTAAGATAAGGACAATATTCCGGAACAATTATCTTGTTCGGTCCCAGTGAAACTAGCTGTCTAAAGTTATATATGGATGCGAAATTGTTTTCTTTCCAGACAGAGAAAGAAAGACAGAAAATTTTGCTAAAATGGAGGGCGAAGAGGAGTGCCTGTTTATCTTATGAACAATAACAATTGACCGGATCCAGCCACCAGAAAGTCGATCATAACATATCTCTTGGTAATCACGCCGTCCACCATTTAAAGCACAATCAAACATCCAACTTCATGACAAATGTTGTAGTAAATCTTGCTGAAAACGCTTGGAAACACTCGCGTTTTGTCCCAGAAGACGCGTTAACCGTGACGAATAGAATTTTCTTGTCACAGAGGTAAGAGTTGGAAACTTAGAGTAGACTTCAAAATAAGATTCATGGCTATCCGGCAGTTTGATATTAGTTGCTCACAGAATGGGGAGGAGTCAAGAGCACTGCACCATGAAAAGTCAATTGAGACAATCCACTTATCCAGGTTTGGCTAGTTTCCAGACAAGCGATTTGTCCTAATGCGATTGCGTTGGTAAGCCAGGTAATCCTTCCTAACATAAATCTTGTGAGGCAAAATCAAAGTGAAGTTGTTAGAGATATCAAACGGAAGGCCTTTGTAAACGGAGGACAGTTCCGCTTCCTCCTTGAGGACACATTTAAGTTGGAGAATAAAACTTATGAAAAAGTCATGCGCTTGTGGAAGCATAAAAAGGTCAGGACAGAGGCGCCAAACTGAATAGAGAACGTTTAGAAAGGTAAGATAGTCTGAGCTGCTGGATAGTTTGATGGCCGATTGGCATTGATTTCCGGATCGGTCTGGAATTATTTCGTAGTTGAATTTAAAGAGCGAGATGAAATCTAATCATTCGGAAGGAAGCTTGGGATCGGAACTCCCAAAAATATTCGTGGTTCATTGTGACTAACTTATGGGATGACAAAACTTTCGCAGGTTTGTAGCGAGATTACCGGAAACGGGTAATAATACCTTCACCGCAGTAATTGCGATCGTTCAAGGGAAACCGAAAAGTCATTCTGCTAAAACTTCAAAACCATTGATATAACGACAATGTCGATTTACGAGTCTACGATTTCAACTGAACGGTTGTTGGTTATGCTTATATGCGGTGACCAATCGATAAGTGTGAGAACGAATTTTTATTTTGCATGATGAGCTTTGAGTTGTGTTTCAGCAAGCAAATGAATCACGGGAATAAATTTGTTCGCAAGCTTGTTTTCCAAAATTTTTGGCTAATTGAGTTCCATTTCTTATCTCTGAAAGTGAACCAGTTGTGGGAGAGAATTTACTATCAGTTTGGCCTGTCTAACTTGTACTCATATTTCTGTTGGCCGGCGTACTGCAGATTGAAAAAGTTAAGTAGTTTGAAACAAATGGTGATATCTCATTAGGGACATAAGCCAACTGCACACCTAATTTCCCACAGTGAGCTATCCAGACAGTTTTTTTTTTCCTTTTTGAGTACACACTGAGTTCACTTGTTGTAATATCTTAAAGATCATCTCTTACTTGAGGCTTCGTAATGTGACCATACAAACCAACGCCGTCCAAAATCCTTTGTTTTAACACATCATTCACTGCTCTTTTAACTGAGCAAGATTCTTCTGAATCTCCTACGTTGGTTTCGTTGAGACCAGATTGTTTATTCCTTGTTAATTACCCCGCGATTGCCTTAATCGTCATCGCGAGTAAGATATACGTTTCATCGTTTATAATTTTTGCCGTCTGCCAGACGTACATAGCTCATGTATCCAACCTCTGGTTTGTGTTTTTCAAGTCTATTGATGGGTTTATTTGGAAACACACAGCATGAAAGTGAAAAACATTTCGATTATGACATTTTAGTTTCCTGTCCCAAATATCACCTCATTCGGCGCCGCCGAATCACTACAATCCCATCGTTTTCTAACTACTTATATCACTTCAAGTACCAATAGTATATCCAGGATTAAGCGTACGGCATGGTGAAAAGCACACGGTGCTCGTAAGCGAGGTAATCAAAAGGCTGTACGTTCCCGTTAAACTCCAGGGTATCCTACAACTTTTTCAACCGGTCCACCTGCGGGAGAAATCGCTTCTTTCAGAATTCGTCACAAGTGCTTCAACCTAATCTGAAGCTAAATACGCGGCGCTGCCTTGAATCATTATGGACAATCACTTATGCCCTTGATATGATAACCTTCGTTCTGTGGATGGGACGCAACTGTCAATCTCCTTCCAGATGCCGCAACGCAACATGCTAATGATGACTTTTCGTAACTACAGGGTTTTGGCTTCAGGTCAGGTGGCTGTTGATATGTTCACCTAGCTTGGTAACTTGCTTGCAGATATTCCGTTACCAGTCCTGGTGACCTAATTGCGCAGTTGGTTGAGTACTTCTTACTTATCTGCTTGCCGTGAGCTTTAGAGATAATCCAGTTCGGAGGCTGAACAAGTGTCCCATTCTTTCCCTTCCTGTAGGAATTTAAAAGACATGCTTTTGCATCTGACATGAGTTTACCATGGAAACCCGACAGACAGTGCCCAACAAGTAGAGCGCTGTACAAGTTACGTTACCGAACAGTGAAGCCACAAACCTGCAATTTCAGCAGTTCGGATTGGCGATACGAGGGTGACAGGCATGGATCTGCACACTGAAAAACCAGCAGGGCAATGAGGTTTGGAGGATATGCGTAAATGAATATCCCGAAGAATCATTGAACGGAGGTTGACCGAGACGGACGATCCATTTAGAAAAATAACTCTTCTGTGAATTAGACAAGATCAAACGGTGACTGATAAACATGCCGACGAATGCGAATACCTTTGCGCCCCTGAATATCTTTTATGGAATAATAACGCTGGATAAGTTTTATGGGGTTATCTGTCCTCAACGTCCATGTAAAATCAAGTGCTGTTCGGATAGTAAACAAAGTTTCTATAACTCTGTTACTCTCTGGATCCGTTTCGAACGGAATCTCCAGTGGGTTGTTGTACTGCAGTTTTGCGCAACTAAGATGCCTCTTGAAATGGTGTTCATTATGAATAACGAGTACTTTCCATAGACGGAGAAAATTACTAAGTTTGGGCAATTAGGAGGAACGACTGGACAAAGTGTTTTGTTTTCACGAAGAATTATAACGGCATACGTTCAATTGACGAGCTCAAATCAATAGTCTTTGGGGATCGCACACAAGTAGAGAAAATGTTGCTTGTGGCAAGAAGAAAATTCTGCGGGTCCCGAAAAACGGTAGGAAGGAGGCACCAAACACCATTCCAGTGTTATAGCGCACTGAGAGCGTAATTTTATATGTGCCGCCGCATGCAATTGTGTATCTGTTCACGCGAATACCGAAAAATGTAAACAATCTCTACGGTATTGCGAGAGAGGAAGGATGGGAAAATCTTGATATTGCGTTAATTTTGCATCTCTTGTTAATCCGCCGGTTTCGGAAAGAGCGAGATAAAAATTCTTTTTTTTTTTGCATGAATCACACCACTGTAAACTAATCCATGGGTAATCAAGAGAAATGTTCGAAATTTTATAAAAATCCATGAGGCGTAAATGAACTGGAACATTTAGTGGGCATTTTCCGAACCGCATAGTTCATTTGGGTCTGTCGAGAATTCCTCTCAAATATTTAAACTAATCCGTGGGTAATCAAGAGAAATGTTCGAAATTTTATAAAAATCCATGAGGCGTAAATGAACTGGAACATTTAGTGGGCATTTTCCGAACCGCATAGTTCATTTGGGTCTGTCGAGAATTCCTCTCAAATATTGTGATAAGATTGCCGACACAAAAAACTTTGGAGCGGTGTCTTCCAACAAAGAAATTTGGCGGGCAATCAGGCTGTGAGCTTAGTACGACTTTTACGGAATGTATAGTCATCTTCTGTGGCTATTCACACAATATGGCACCAAAATGACATTAGATCTAGACATTTTCGAAATTATCCTCAATGGTTACTTCTTTGGATGAACCAGGTAATCACAGCTTTTGGTTTACCTCCCGTAAGAGAGATAGATATATAGTAAATATGCCATGTTCTACTGAATAATAATCGAAATTTCGACCAAGCAGCGGAGTTGAATGATGGTGACAGCTGAAAGCCAATAATATAAAAAGGCAGGCATTGCATTCGCAGTAAAGCGACAGATTTTGCTGTTGTAGTCAATAGAGGACACGGGTTCTGTGAGTTCTGTCTGTCTGGCGAATTTCGCTCGCGCCATCATTGGTCAGATTTGATGGTGTCTTCTACGATACTTTTCTCTAAGTTCATGTGTGGACACCGTTTAAAGAATATCGTTGTATGACATCTGCTTGTGACAGTGTTGTCCTGTTGCCATATGTTTACCAGAGAATAATCAATAAAAATGGTATCATTTTATGGCCATAAGCTGCAAAACCTGCACGACGTTTAACTGCAGTCCGGTTGTCATATTATTTTCATCGTCTGTTTGTTCATAATGCAGTCCATTTAAGCGTGCCTTATGGCCTGAATAGTGGAGATGAAAATGCCTCATTGATCAATGGGCTGAGCACTTCACAGAACAGTTCACCTGGTCTCTTTCAACACAACCGCTGGAAGAACCAAGCGGGCCCGAATGGAACATTGACACCACCCACCATCAGAAACCAAAATCCAGCGTGAGATATCAATCTTGAAGCACGACGAGGCACCTGGCCCGGATGGTCTGCGTCCCGCGCTCTTCAAAGTAGGTGGCGAGGTCCTGGCGAACAGCCTAACGACCATGCTACAGGAAATTTAGAACCAAAACAGAATACCATCCGAATGGAGCTCCTCGACCGTCATCTGAGTTTTCAGAAATGGAGCAAGAACGTCATATGAAAACCATTGTGGCATCTGCCTGGTATCCGTCGCATCTAAGGCTCTCTCTGGCAGTATTTTGCGCAGATTGATGGATTATCGGAAGCGACAGATTCTTGAGAATCAAGCTGGGTTTCTCCCTGGTCGAGGACGCATCGACCGCATCTTTACCTTGAGACAAATTCTTGAACAGCGCCACTCCTTCAGACGTCCGACGTTGGTCGTTTTTCTGGATTTAAAGACTGCTCTGGATTCTATCGATCGTCAGGAACTTTGGCAGTGTCTGGCGACCAAAAATGTCCCGTCCGAATTTCTCTCACTTATGAGCTCCTGTGGACGCGTGCGAGTATACCGGAAGCTCTCGCCTGAGTTCACCACTTCCAGTGGTTTAAGACAAGGCTGTCGTCTTTTCCTCTTTCCTCTTTAACTTTTTTATTGACATGTTGCTTGAAATTTCTCTGCCTGCCTCTGAAACCTCGGGGGTCGAAATGTTCCCGGGACGTTCCCTGATTGAGTATGCAGACTACATTGTTCTTCTTGGTTCAGATCCTCCCCGAATGTAGAGGCATGCGCTGCACACCCGCAAAGTGTAAAGGGCTGCTACAAGACTGGGTGGAATCTAGCCCAAACCTCATGCTTGCAGATGAGCCAATCGACGTGGTTGATAAAACTCTTTACCTGGGCAGCTGTATGAGACAGGTGTATGAGTCCCGGTGGACTGGCTGGAGATGAGATTATTTCCCGAATCGGAAAGGCCAGGGCAACTTTTACCAAACTCCGACACCTATGGCGCTGACGTGATATCTGTCAAGGATAGAGTTTACACTGCAGCAGGGCGATCCATATTGCTTTATGGATCAGAAACGTGGCCCCTACGAGCAAACAGCGTATAGAAGATGTCAGTGTTTGACCATTGGTGTCTCCGAAGTACCAGTCAGTGGTGATGGGAACATCGGATTAGCAATGCTGAGGTACTCCAGATGGTCTTAAGAAGAAGTCCCTCTCCCGCGATAGATGAATTACTTACGTTTCATAGGTTACGCTGGTTGGGACATGTACTCCTCATGCTTGAAGGTCGTCTGCTTTGCAGAGCTCTTTTCGCCCAATCCTATGCTGAGTGAAATCGACGGGGAGGTGGACAGTTTATGACCTAGCATCGAAGTACGAAAATATTATGAAACATTACGAAAACTGTAGCCTCTCTGGATGGGGACTAGAGCTTAACTCAACAACGGTTAGTGACATTGACAGGAATGGCCCGATCGCGCAGCAAGTGATGCTCGTGCATCAAAGCTATCGCCTTCAATACGTAGCTACCCACTTCCCGAACTAACCAAGACTTGTCTGTATGTCCCACGTTATCGTCTTTTCTGATAGCAGCTGGAACCAATGTGCCTATGGCACACGGTTTACAGCTGATAAATTGAAATTAAATTGAACTGAATCAATGGTAACTCGATGACCAATCCAACCTAAAAAGTAAAACCTGTTCTATTTGGACAACATCACAAACGAGAGATTTAACTGGGTTCCAGGTGAGTATCTCGAAAAACCAAATTAGCTTGCAAATGAGTCTATATTCGCTAAGCAGTTAACCTTAGTTTCATAAAAACAAATTTCTGCTTATAAAAGATTTCCTGAATCTTTCGTGCTTATAATAAGTTCCGAGATAAAACTTGTCATGACCTCGAATAGGGACAGATAGGAATGGAAGCATTCCCTATGCTGACCAACAGCAATCATCGGAAGAATTAAGCAAGCTGGGTAAAGGAACCAAGAAACAGACAGCGCCCCCGACCTATCCATTTTTCAACGTAGTGCCAGAATATATATTTTTTTCAAAAGCAGTCTGGCTTAAACCAAGTACCAGTTTCAAATCAGGATCAAACTAACTCCGTTTATCAACCTTTCTGGAACTTAAGGCGTGCAGTAGCTACATATGTTAGAAGTTGTTCTAATTGTTTGGTTCCTGAAATCTCAAACATATCAGTACGATCATTCACAAGTTTCTTGAATATCAAGTGATCATTCAAAATATCAGTTTGTTTACACAGTCACGTATCTTTCATATCCATCAATGAAACCAACCTTGCAGCCTATCCAATAAAAAGCTACAATTCTTCCGCATTTTAAGCGTGTGTGCGTCTCAATAAGCCAACTATATAAAATAAAAATTTATCTTGTCCACAAGTGAATATCTCGAAATTCATCATGATGCACACTGTTTTGAAAACACTTTGGATTTCCGTTGTCTGCATGGTTGCCAGTTTTGAAGGTGAGATTGTTAGTTTGTTGCCTAAACTATAATAACTGCACAATCAATATGTACAAAAGTATTAAATGTTTTTCGTGTTCAGAATAACCTTCGATGCGGTGTAAAGAAAGCGAGACCTCTAAGACCAAAGGTGTTGACTGAGTTTGCTGAAACCTGAGTAAATTGTCTCACCCGCGCGTCCTCTTTAGATCGCTTGGACGCAGACAGTCTGACAGTGACAAATCTAGCTGGCACACAACCATATATCGGCAATTTTTGTATGATTTCGTTCGTTTTTCCCTTCAGGTGATTGATTTTCCGTCTCACTTCATAACAATTTTTGTATCATTTACGCTATTCTATTGGTTCGAAGCTGTATCAGCTTACGTGGATTCAGTCAAGTGATTCAGCAACGAAGTGGGCTTTTGGCTTATCATATGTGCAGAGATAGGCAAGTGCCCATGTGGTTGTTTCAGCCCTGAAATGAATGCACTTTTCAAACTGAAAGTACCAGGTAATAGGTGGAGAAGTACCGAGAGGAGCTCGGCTGGCAATGTTCTTCCACAGCATGA